CACTCTGCCCCCGCCGCTCCATTAACGGCGACAGTTGGCACACAGACAGTCAGGCAGACAGACACAAGCGAATGGACACTCCAATTCGAAGTAAATATTTGCCCAGTACTCCACTGCAGTGGCACTCTCATCCTTTGAGGGAGGCAAACGGACTGCAACTTCATCAGCAAGTCGTCGTTGGTATCACAGCCGGCCCGACAACTGTCCACTACGTTGCTACATTGAATTTAATGGCTTCATCGAGATGGAAGGAAGGAAAGAAGGAAAGGTAAAGAGTGAGTGCGCTGCACCAGCTAAAGTGAGAGCGGTGCTTATCGAGATCAATGTTCGGATAGAGTCGGACAGTGCCAAAGAGGAGAAAGAGANAGAGAGAGAGAGAGTGAAAAGTAGAGTGAGTCGTTGCAACTCGGTGCCATCAGCAGCACTGCGACACCGAGTTGTCCAACATGGCGCTGTCCTCACTGTGAGCCCTCCTTCGCTCTCTGGTCATCTTCCTTCATCTTTCCCTGCTCTCTTTCTTTCACTTTTACTCTTACTCTCTTTCCTTTCTCCTTTCTCCTTTCTCTCTCTCAATTTGCTCCAGGTGCCATCTTCGCAGTGCCATAAGGTGCCGGTGTGAGTCTCGGTGTGTCTCTGTGTGGCAGCACTCTATAAAAGGTCCACTCGAGCACCGGGTTAAAGGCACACAGACAGTCGCTCACCTCAGTGGCAGCATCTCACAGTAGCAGCTCACAACTGACAAACACCGATAATCCAACTTACTTCAACTCAACTCACTCCATTTCCAACTTCACGATGGTCCAAGTAAGTGGACGTGGACGTTTGATACCGGTGCCTTTGGTCCCTGGCACCCAGCAACCATCACCACCACCACCACCACCCCCAACAGCTCCACTCACCTCATTCACCCCCTTTCTCTTCCTCCCTTTCAACAGATGATGTCCCGTCTCGTCTTTGGCAGTTTTCTGCTAGTTCACATTGTGACCGCCTCCAAGTACGGCTCCTCTTCAGGCGGGGCTGGTGGCGGCGGTGGCAGCGGCGGCGGCGAATCCATTTACCTCAGCTCCGGCGGAGGCAGTGCCGGAAACGTCGGCGGCAGTTCTGATGGCGGCTCCTCGCTGGACCTGGGCAGCATGTTCGGCATGTCTGACTTTGCGCAGTCCGGTCCCTCGTACCAGTCGGCGGGCGGCGCCAGTGTGCCGGCGGCCATTCAGACGAAGCGCACCGTCGAGGTGAAGCCGGTGAGCATTCCCCAGGAGCCGGTGGAGCCACACATCGTCGACGTGGAGGCGACCTACCAGCCAGTGCACGTCATCTTCC